CAAAGGGGAGGGGCATCTGAGGTGGGCGTTGCTGTTCCGGAGTAACACGAGCCGGAGAAGAGGGCGATACGCTGGTCTGAATCCTCGGCTGCGGCGGGCTTCGGGGCGAGAGGGTTTTCGCTGGTCTGTCCCAGGCCTCCGGGGTGAGGAGTTTCTGGTTTTCCGCCACAGCTGTTTTGGGGCGGTCCTCCTCATCTTTGTGGGCGGAGCCGGCGAGGGCGGCACGAGCTTCCCGGTAAAACACGTCCATCTTGTACTGGTTTAGGCATTTGGTGCTGCAGAACTGCAGGCGCTCCTCGCCCGCACCGAAGTCCAGGTACTCTTTAGTGTGACGCGGGTGTTTACACCAATCACACACCTGCAGAGAGACGGTTTTACAAAACACATCCATTCTGAAGTCTTCACATTTGAATATTTAAAAAATCCAGTATAATGAATTAATAAATATGAATACATTCCTTAATATTAATGATTAAATGTAATATTTGTATAAATGTAATCCTTGATATTTTTCTTATGTAGTAACGGTTTCTACATGCAGTAATCGGCGCACGTGGACGCTCGTGTGTTTATTTACACGCGTGTTGTTGTTCATCTTCAGCAGAAGTCTTGAGGGCGTGTCCAGCGTCTGGCCAGGGGGCGGAGACTGGTCGCCATGACGATCCTCATCTCGAGCCTGGAGGAACACAAACACACACAAATAGTAATCTGAAGCGCTTTGTTTGTGTGAAATATAAACATGTATTCGTCAGGGTTATTACAGTTAATCAACTAAAACTACATGAAAAAAAAACTTTTGCCACTTTTGCTGGGAAAAAAAAAAATGTAACTATAAAATATTGAAAAAAATATTATTAATATTAACAAAAACTATAATCGTATCTCAATAACAGCAGCTGATTCAAACACAGCGACACGTCAGACGTGATGAGAGACATGTTAGTCAATGTGTGACACAATGCGTTAGGTTTTCATTCTAAGTCTAACACTAGATCTATTGTTTTAGCAAAGTCTTTCTGTGTGTGAGTGTGTGTGTGTGTCTGTGTGAGAGAGAGAGAGAGAGAGAGAGAGTGTGTGTGTGTG